AAGAGGACGTGTTGTTTGGTAAAACAAGGTTAGAACGAAATCGAAGAGCAGAAGTAACGCGATTGAATTGAAAATGTTAATGTTACACATCGCAGTATCCTTGAGGTATATTGGAGATGCAAACGTTGAAGTTTAAACATTAAATAAATACTTGTTTATGAGCGCGTAGAATTATTATGCATGGCCATACTAGATGACAATGAATTCAAAGATTATAGTTTAAATGTATAACACTGTCACAGTATTTATAAGTTTATATTGCTGCCGCAGATTAATGTAACATACATACACTTTCAAGTTCAAATAATATCACAGCCTATTTCTTTTTATTAAATTGCAATCAATATTGAGAATGCAATAGATATTCATCAATATATGTCATGGTGTCAGAAATGGTATTTGCATTTTATAGTGATATTTATGTAAGTGCACACACTCTACTTTTGCACAAATGTAGCACAATTTATACAGGTTTGACTATGAAATAAAAACTGTCCGATGCGATTTATTTAAATCATGGCGCTATCAATATTGTAGTAGTTTCATCTAGAATTGCGCACATTTGCTAAGCAATCATTTAATATATTGTTGTGACAAATTAGACGTTTTGTCTCGAATATTATATACTTTTCTCATTATATATTGAATACCCGGATATGCACACCAGTATAAGCACTGTAAATTATGTATACATATGTAACATTAACAGTATTAGTTTTAGTTTTTTTAAAGAGACAAAATTTCCAGCGAAAGCAATAAAACGTGCAAGTAATAACATTGTAGGCATTGTAACAAAGTAGACATCTCGTCTTCATTCTTATAAATTTGACTTACTTTCTAATCAATAGCTGAATACACACAACAATATAACGAATTTAAATGTCAATAACGAGTACCTGACAATACTTACACATGTATGAAATTAACATATGCGTTGATTAATTTGTCTCTTTCAGAATTTGGATGGCCTACATTCAATATAATTGGGCAATTGAGGAAAAAAAAACATTTCAGAAAAGGACCTTCATTTCCTTGCTTAATTCAATGGCACTACTAAAACTTCAGACACATCAGTCCGTTTGATTACTTTAGAACATCAGACATTTTAAAAATAGGAAACTCAACTCAAGGTTTCTGCTAGTGTATATGTTTGTCACACGCAACGTAATATTACCGTAATTGGTATAGTACAGGTGTGATGGTTCAAATACCAAAATGGCAACAGTAACAAAAAGACTTCTCTGGCGGCGATGATAAAATACGAACACGGAGTCAACAGATGAGGTTTCAACTGGTACTGGTATTATTATACTCTGCAAACATCAAGTACAATAACGCGGTAAAACTCCACTACTCCAATAACTAGATACTTAAACTCCAACACAATTCAACGAGATCTCCGATCTGATCAACTCCCCTATATATACCCACACTGTCTATAAATAGACCATTACATCATCATACATAATGAGTCTGGAACTTACTACAAATTTCTAGAATGTTCCATTACTTTCTATTGCCTCCTACAGTGTTCTATTACCTATTCAACCAGTTTCTAAAAAATCCACCCAGACACAGTACGGTTCTAGAACATTCTCAGTCACACGGAAGTGGTAATCAAGTCGTATGCGACAATGTTCAAAGTATTTTCAAATGTGCGATATGATCATTTTGTATTACATGTTCGTACAGATGATTAAATATTAAATAATTGATATATTGTTATCGCACTATCAAATCCAATTACATGAAAATTCTATTTTAACACTCAGATCACAAATTATTATATTTTGTCAATTATATTTCGCACAAAACGTCAACAATTTTGAAGGTGATAAACTATTTTCCTATCTAAGGCACTTTTAACATTTTAAACACCAAAGACAATATTATACAATGCATAATGTTTTCCTTATTTGTTTTTTTTAAAGGGTTAGCCGCGAAAAATATAGTGTCATGAACACAAGTTATTGTTATATTTTCATAAGACGATTACTGCAATATGACAATGTGTACATATCTCCCATGTTGTACTATTTGTGTGTGAATGCAATGGACCCATACAATGGAAACGTGCAACAATCTAAATCGGAAAATAAACACAGTATAAAAATATAATTTTCTAATTGCAAGGTTTAAAATGTTCTCAACAAAAATATTCACTAAATTACCGTCAATATATTTTGAGTCACTATCTTTCAGACTTCTTATTGCAATACTTATTGCAACGTCAATATTTCATTTCTGTGAGTAATAAAGTAAGCTGAAATGTTATCACAAATAAGTAGTTTATAAGGTATATCTAAATTTAATGTTGTTCCACCATGTCCATTGCTGTGGACAAGGCAATTAATATAACTTCCGCCACCATAATGTCGCCGAGTTTACATAAAATGATGAAAAACATAATTGGGCCATTAATAAATAAATTTGGTTATCATTATTTCTCATTGGGTCATTTATCATTGAGTCGGTGATTAATCTCTCGAAAATGTGTTTTCATAAGAAACCAACAAATCTGTGTTTACAAAGTGAAACACCCTGTCTAAGCATAGCAATATGTACATTGAATTGATAGATCATGTTAGTATCTCTATATTGAATCGAGAGTGAACATTTTATATAAAATACCTATAATGTTTCTGAATTACAAATGACAGTTAAAAACTACTCGCATAGAATGTCTTACGCGTGTATGACATTTAACCCACAAAAGCTCATGGTAATGAACGTTACCTTGCCAATGAAAGCCTCATTTCTGGGTTCGAATTTAGCGCGCGGATGTTTTATATTTTTTTTTTTATAAATTTGCATAGTATTAATGCATAAAAAAACGGAATGTATCATCTTACATTGGGAAGATTTAATCTAAAATTATCGCATGCTGTTAATTGTATATTAAGACATCATGATAGTCATTTATGAAGTTTAAGATAAAAAACAATTTAGTTAAATTAAATTTGGGAGTATAAAGAAATGGTGAAATGTTTTGCACAACAACATACAGCAAAACAGATTTACTTTCTAAAACAAAATGCTGTATAAATACTAGACAGATGCAGTAATTAGTGTTGGACAATTGACAAATGGCAGCGATTTACATGTCGTCACATTCTTATAGTTTAGAACTTGGGATTTCTCACTCATTTGAACACCGAAACGTATACATCGATTGTTTTCTCAATTTGTCACGCTTATTGCTAAATGTATTTGGGTGAATTTGCTATATTTCAGCCATGTGTCTGAGCCCTCCCCCCGCCCGCGAGAAAATAAAAGAGTCGCCGACCGTTAGATATTGGATAGTTATTAAAACGGATATATTGATTGTATTTGAACTCAATAATCATTATCAGCTGATATTGGGCATTTTACCCAAACCGCATTCCGTGATGAATATTGACTGGCCACTTTTTCACCAGGTTACGTACAACGTCATTAATTAGACGGTGTGGAAAATGAAAACAAAACAATTCCTGTTTGGATGGTCAATGTTCCGGGAACATTTTATTTAGGTGAATAACCTGTTTTAAATACCGATATAAGAAGATATAGCGAACCTGTAGTGTGCATGTGAATCATATGAGCAAATATCAATGGGTTCGAGGCGTAATGGCCGCTAGGATCTTGGGGACAGAGACACGAGATTTGCTCCGTTTTGTTCACTGGTTCAAATAATATGGTTTACCCATGCCAAGGCAACTGAAAGGTACAAATAGGCAATATAACGAGTGATAACTAAACCCTATCAGAAGGAAAAAAACAAGTTCTGCGACTTGTTCATTCTCACCCGTATCTCAGCGGCTATTTACCTGTTAACGTATATCCAAGAGGAGATGTAGTTAGTAGTATATTCAAGCAGCACAGCGAACGTCTGTGCTTATGCCCTTTTTTCATTCGAGATGAAATCACGTACAATACGGGTAATTCTTTGCTCCCACCATGCGGGATTAGTTGAAAATCCCTGTTAAGAAAGGCGGCTAACATATATAAGCTAGCCCTGGCCAGCGGCACATATGAAGTAGGCTATTATTACAGCTCACTATTTCAAAAACCGATAAACATGTACTGTAGGTTGTGAGACGTTCCCTAATAGAACAAGGTAAAGCCCACCCCCCCCCCCCCCACAAAAATGATGTTGCTTTACGTCCCACTGGCAGTATAAATTGAAATATGATGCAAGATGCGATTTTAATGTGTTGTTATTTTATTATTTATTAAGATTATTTAATATTACAACACAGATATACATGTTCCACTTTTAACGTTTATTAAAGGTTGATATCTTCTGAAACAGAAAATAAACATCTCTTTCATTCAACAAAATATGCCTTCTTAAAAATAACACTTTGATATATCGCTATCAATAATATTGCTGCGTAATGGCGTCGTGTGTAATTTTCGCTCTGAATATTTCTTCGATGTTAAACATATATATTTAAACATATATATCCAAAATATATTTAGAATGTTCGCAATTTTTTAGTGTCCATTAGCAGCATATTATAATAAATGCATAAATGTTGTCACTGATGGCGCACTTTTAGGAAGAAGCATCCAATCAATAGGTTGTATTTCCATTTGTACTGCGCAACGACGAATTGGTCACCACTGAGAATGAATGTAAAATGTGATAAAATTAATGTGTGAGGATTTTCCCAATATTAATGACTATTTGTTTGGCATTTGAAACAAGTATAATGCAAGTGCCTCCATGCAACATTACGTTATGTTGGATAATGTCGGAAAAATGATTGAGTGAGCTGCTATAATCGGATATTAGGTTCTTCTATTTTGAGTGAGCACATACAGTGTGGTAAACAAAACAATCGATTCAGATGGCCACTGTGACGTGGCACGCATCAGTGGGTTTAAAATAAGTTGAGTTGCAGCTTAGATCCCCGAGCATTTCACTACTGACTATAGCGCCAGCAATACAGCGCCGAGGACGGCTTGCTGTTGTTGACTTATACAAGTGTTACGTTTGAAATTTACAGCCAGCAATGTCTACAACGAAAGAATACAGTTTTGCTAGCAATCTATCTGTGGACTACAATTCAACGTTTGATGTGTTTGCCAACGAAACCAGTGTTGATAACCGAAGCGGATTGCCGACGTGGTTCTTCACGATTTTTCTTCCCCTGAGTTTCAGCGCGATCATAGTGACAAGTCTTATAGGCAACGGCACCGTAATATGTGTCATTATACGCCACCCAACACTCAAAACCGTGCCCAACTTGTATATTCTCAACCTTGCTTCAGCGGATTTTCTGTTTTCCCTCAACATGATTTTCACCACCACGACATATTTCACCAAGAGATGGATTTTCGGAGAGATTCTCTGCAAGATTGTCACCGGAATTGACGGTATGTACCTGTTCACGGGAATATTCACGCTTGCTGCAATGAGCTTTGACCGCTATATTGCGATCGTACACGCCGTCTGGGCTCAGAACAACCGCAGTCTACTACAGGTGAGAGTGGTTTGCGTCATTCTCTGGCTGCTCTCGTTGACGGTAACTGTGCCGCTTTGGATGTATGCTACTGTACAGGACACTCTTGGAACTGTATCGTGTAACATTATGTGTACTGATTGTCAATGGGTGATGGAGCTATTCAGTCTGTATTCATTTGTGATCGGGTTTATACTACCTTTGGTTGTTATCAGTATATGCTACTCACGGATTATGTTTCATCTGTATCTGGCACAGAGCTCAAAACCAGGTAAACCAAATCGACAACATTCAAAGTTAGGCCGCGTCGGGTTGATGGTCTTAATGGCTGTGGCTGTGTTTGTAGCATGTTGGATGCCATTTTGGACCATTCGCGTGTACTCGACACTGTCGCATGACAACTCGTTGATACTCCACGGGTCTTTCTATTGCAGCCAGATTATGTGCTTCGCCAACTGCTCCCTTAATCCCTTGGTCTACGCATTCTTTAAACAAGATCTCCGTCGATCTTTGAAAGAGGACTTGCGAATCCGCGATAAACAGACCAAAGTTTGAACACAAAGAATGGCTAAACGCTATTAATTTATATATTATTATGAGCATAATGAACTTGTACAAAAACGAGAAAAAAATACTTGACAATGCAACTTGATTAAATGTGTTTGTACGTTCAATAACAATCACTGCACATGCTTACTGTTTTTGTTTGTTTGTTTTTTCTTTTCATTTCCGATCGAACGAATACTCCTATTATTGTTGCAAAAGCAATATTTTGTTTTTACGATAACAATCACCCAATGTAGTATATTACGTTTTTAAAAATTATGTTAATTCAGCTTTATGAATAATGTAAAAATACATTCGGTGATTTGACATTGTTTTGGAGCTGGTTTTCTATTGTGATTTCTACAGTCTGCTGTCACGTAAATGAGTGATACAAGTCAATAAAGATGGTAAGCTGATAGGCGAACGAGGTAGTGTCATATAGTGTCTTTTATTCTGAAGCTGTGTCAATAATTATGTGTTATGATGTGACACCATTCACGACAAAATAGTTTCTGTTTCCATGACAATGACTCCACCAGAGAAAACAAGTATTTTTCTGTGTAGTGACAGTCATATACACATGGGTACAATTGCATCTATAGAATACACCATGAATTTTACTCATTGACAATTAGACTAAGCGCAATATAACGTACAGTAGTTAGAACTAAATTCTACTGTAACGACAAAACACCGGAGAGTGCAAATCAAATACTTGTATATACAAGCACCACTGAAAGCACTTATTGGAGAATGAAAAATAATAAATTCCTCGGCTGTGTGGAGTTTGTTCTAAGTGTATTTATATGTAAATACCTTAGAATTGGTGAAAATAATGAATGAATATTATTTTCTATGTGCTGGAAAGCCGCAAGGTACGCCTCTTTTCTTATCAACACTGTCAACACACCAAAGCACTGAAAGTCCATGATATTTTACCAACATGCTGTGACACCCACTCACAAATTGTAAAGAACGTATGTTATATGTATGAAATGGATATGGATATGAGCATACGTATTTACATATGACTTCAGTAACCCAGTTAGTTGGAGTGGTTGAGGATTTATTTTAATTAGCCGTGCTAACAAATCACCACTGCGATCGCATTAATAGGCATCGAATGAATAATATACCACCCATTCTGGCATTTACAAAGACTGTCGCTGACACTCCGTATTGTTGAACTCCAGAGAAATGTACATGCTACAAAACGCTACAATTTTTAATGACTTGCGAAATTCGCAGAAATGTGTTTCTCGCAAAATTAACGCGGTTGAAGGTATACACAGATTTATCACATGAGCAACGTCGACGTATGCTATTCCGATCACCGTATTCATTTTTAACAATTCTGTCTTGAAACAAGAAAATGAAAATGAAATCAACCGTAAAATCAATACTCTGCTAATAATCCCTTGATAGGTCATTGCTTGTGAGTGCTTTCACTAGATGGTAATGCATCCACCAAAATACAACATACGTCACATGGTCCCAAGTGTACATCTTGCATACTAAGCGACATAATACATATTCGTGATCGACTTGAGCGTTGGTTGGTGTATACACATCCCAGCTGAATACACAATGATTCACAATGGTGTCTCGAGCGTTTTCACGCAGGGTGATTTCTAAGACAGAGATACTTCTACAGTACATGTTTTGTATGTTATAAAGCTGTATCGTTATAACCTTAGCTTGGGAAGATCTTACAATTTCTCTGTAAATTTGGAACACCTGTAGACTGAGCCGACAAATATGTTTCACTCAGGCAACCAAACATGAATGGGTAATGACTGCACGTTATGATAATGTTTATAGTTTCGCCCAAATAGAGTACTCGTATTAGACATTCTCTAGAAATAATTAGCTTATCACTTTGCAGCATATTTATCAACTTAAATGCATTTGAGATTGTTTCATAGTGATTTCTTTATGAACATCGCTAGGCTGTATAATCGGTATCTTAACAACATAACTTCGAACATGAAATGTGCATGCACTTCTTCAGTTGTCATATACTCTTTGGGATGTGTGTGGGCAAGACGAAAAAAAAATCGAACTGGTAATTATTTTCTAACTAACTAGTAGAATGAAAACGATTTGTTCCATTGATTATGAGTGCTGTAAAAAAATACAGTAGATCTGGTGTCGCCGAAATATTACGTAAACTAATTTTTAGTTGAACCCTGAAGTTTATTACGTAACCTACTTGATCGATTAGCTTGAAAATATTCAATTAAAAGGAAATTGTACTATTCACAAACAAGAACATCATTTTCACTCAACTTTGTATCTGCAATAATCGTCTCTGTGACAAATTAAAGCCCCAAATCAGCTACGTCCGGTGAAAACGACGTGATTGAAGAGAAGAGACACTATTAATATTCGTCTCATATTGATTTGAGTAATAATGGACATTGGTTGCCATTTATGGAACAGTTTTCATTGTAGTAAAACCCGGTGTACTGTATGACGGAAAACATATTATCGTGGGATATGCATACGTTTTCCTGCTATATTATCATCACAATACTACATTATCACACATTTCGTGCATAAATGAAATAAACATGGACAAAATAATTCCATTTTGAAAAAATAAAGTGTTACTGTCGAAACTGTCAGTTAATACCAGCTTTTTGCAAAGGGTGTGCGCGTTGAACTTTGAGATACTTACATTCTATATATCGGCATGTGATTTTACGTTTAAGAACAACACCAATGTTGTCATTGAATTGTCATCTCCTGTCAGCTAAGGTGACTAGAACTAGAACTATTAGTCAACTCACTATTTACAATGTGTTGGCTTCAGTAATGTCCATTTCGGCGACACTGATGACGAGGGTCGGTTTTTCTACAGTGTTGCCAAACTGATAACAGCAATTATTAAAATTTGATTTTAGTTGAACTTTATCTTTCTCTTATTATGATCGCTGTTCTATTAAAATGTCAGCACATTTTATGGTATGTGTGTCAACATAGACTGTATCGTAAACAAATAAAATTGTTTATTGGCAAATAATTTAAATAGTTTCACTCCTTTTTATTCCTTGAGTTTCTATTACATCTCAAATTTTGTTTTGATATTTTCATTATTTCTGCTATTGGATTTGTTCTAGATTTTCTTAGCATTAATATTAGAGGTACTAGATGAAAAGAGTCATACGAGATTAGTACATCTGCAATTGTAGGGCCACATTTATTCTATATATCCGCTTCGCCGAGTCATATACGACTATAACATTTCCAGAGTCTAGGTGGCTACCGTGTACTAGTATCGTATTCCTTTTTGACACTTTAAATACGTTAAAAACGCGTTTTTTTAACTGTACTTAAAATACGTTCGAGTGCGTAGTAAATACATATATTTGCTTTTAAATAAATGCTTTGAATATATATTTAACTGTTTGCAACCTACAAATCTATAAACATGAGGTGTCCTCATCTACCTACATCTAACTATAACTTGTTTGATGAATTGATAACGTGATTTCCCTTCAGCATAATGGCTTCCCCTGTCGATGTATAATCAGCAAAGCTTGGTCATAACGTGAGGTATTCAGTAACTCCCTGGTGTTATATAACAACGTGAAAGACAATTCACAGCAAAGTCCAGGTTTATTGACAGTCTGGATAGCACAGCATTTTTTGAACAAAAACATTTTACTCATCTTGTCGTTCAGCTAGTAAGTATTCATTCCATTTCACTGCGTAATACTCGATCGCGTAATGATCTAAACTACGTGCAAACACGGTGACTGAATTGAGAAAAATGTTGCCGTGTTAAGCTTTGGCCACGTATAACCTTCGCGTAGTACGCCGTAATATTGGAAAATCAATACTTGGGTGGCGCCGGTAGTATATAGTAAGGTGACACGTAACGGAAATGTACACGCCCACTCCAATTTAATCTTTTGTTATTATCACTGCGCTGGAGTCCTTGCCCGTGGGAGATTTCCCGCTCGCTAAACAAGACGCTCGATCGTTCTTACATTCGGCCCCTACTACCGCTCGTTCGAACAAGAACGCGTATTATCGAATGTGGTTGGATTTCTGTCACATATAAAGGAAAACCTCGCAGCATACCGTACTGTCAAGATTAAAACAAGTGTGCAACGTATTTCAGGTGCAGATTACTGGCTTAAACCAATTTGGAATGTGTGCCGCTTTAAATTTATCAAAGGTTTATTTTTGTAAAATTATACCCCTTTTCAAGTGCAGAAATTTAAAATAGATAGATATTATCTTTGACACAAAATTTAGTATGAATGAAAAAAAATGAAATGTTAATGAAATTGTTGGTGAATTCGAAGGTCACATTTTGTGTGTATCTATTATCTCAATATAACATGCAAGTTCCACAAGACCTGTTTAAATTTTCAGGACCAAAGGTCAACTGTCAATGTCATAGTGCATGCGTACCTATATTCACAATAGAGCAACAAGGGAGAGATAGCTAACAATAACTTGAAAAACTAGACTGCCATGGTGTCAACAGTGCTCAGTGTTAAAGTTTGGAAAAAAAAAACATGCTCATCACATGTAATTACCACGCGTAGTTAATGTGTTTGTAATTACTATTACTTGCGCCAGAGCAAAGCTGCGCAAATCTCATGTGTATGTGTGTATGTAAGTTCACAAAATAACTCGACGGTAGATTTAGATATGTATGCTCACTGCAAAGCAGAAGGGATTTGTTTAGATTCATGTTCCCAATGTGACCCACAATACCATGATAGATTCTTGGGACAACAGGTTAACATCTTATTATGAGTGTATCAGGGGTAAAATCTTTTCCTCTGGGTTTATCCACACGTGTCAGGGGGAATATCGTCTCGTCTCTATATCGCGTCCGCTTGAGGTACGGGATCGGGAAAGTCACTTAAACTTTTACAGTCAAATAGACACACACTACGAAATACGTCTTAGTCGATCAGTCGAGCACTCTATAAGACACAGCGCCCTGGGGAAAAGTCCCCAAGACTAACGCAAGGCTGACCCAAGAC